GAGAAAGAGAACGAGAGAGAGAAGATTGGTGAGAGGAAAGAGAAAGAGAGGAAGACGAGAAAGATATGAGGACGAGGTTGAGAAAAAGAGAAAGAGAGAAGTGTGAAAGAAGAGAAGAATAAGAGAGGAGTGAAAAGACGGAAGAGAGAGAAATGCAAACTTGAGAAAGAGAAAGAGAAGGAAAGAAAAAAAAAAATAGAAAAGGGGAGAGAAATATGGACAAATAAAGTAGACAATTGCATCGATAGATAGAAAAAAAAAGGAGTGGTAGAAAGAGAAAAAGAAAGAGAACAGAGAGGTAGATAGATATAACAGTAAAAACAATACATCATATAAAGATCCTGTTTGTGTTTCGTCCATCAGTTCATCAATTCGCAGTGTGCAAAAACTTCTTATTCATGGATTCGAGTTTCATGTGACTTGAAGGCAATTAATTTGAGTGAAAAATAGGGTGATGACTGACAATATAAATGTCAAACACGCACGCACACACACAAATACTCTCTCTCTCACACACACACACAAATATAAATTCTCACTCTCACTCACTCTCTCTCTCTCTCTCTCTCTCTCTCTCTCTCTCTCTCTCTCTCTCTCTCTCTCTCTCTCTCTCTCTCTCTCTCTCTCTCATACACACGCACACGCGCACACACACACATCATAAAACAAAAGAGGGTTAAAGAGGGAGAGTTTTTTTATTTAATGATAATAGGGTATATAACAACACGAAAGAATAATAAAACTAGAAGCATTCAGAGAGCGCATACCTCCGCCAAGGCGATAGGGTCACTGATGCATTACAAATATTCGCACTTGAAGAATTAAATCAATATCACCTCTATCTCAAGTACACCGATGACGCACGTAAGTATAATAATAATGATTAAGTAAGTATAATAATAATTAGGGAACTAATGCAATCATAAATAAATACTGGATCCGTATCACCAGCAAAATTAAAAGACACCCAAACTGGGCTAAGACACACCCCTGGTATATTTATCCTTCTAACAAACTAACAAACAAGAAAACAAACAAGCAAACAAACTAACAAACAGGGCTAAAACACACCCCTGGTATATTTATCCTTTTAATCAACAAACGAACTAACAAACAAGAAAACAAACAAGCAAACAAACTAACAAACAGGGCTAAAACACACCCCTGGTATCTTTATCCTTCTAACAAACAAGAAAACAAACAAACAAACTAACTAACAAACCAGCCAGCGCTACCAAAAAACATAACCTCCTTGGCAGAAGTAATAACAAGATGGATGATATTTCGTTTCTGTTTTCCATTATCCAAGTCTAATATTACTCAGGGGAGAAACGCGAAACTTCGGGGATGACTGTCGTTAAATCTGCCATTCTCTCTCTCTCTCTCTCTCTGTTCTTTTTCTTATTTTTTTCTCTCTCTATCTCTCTCTTTCGGAGAGAGAGAGGAGAGAGAGAGAGGAGAGAGAGAGGAGAGAGAGAGGAGAGAGAGCGGAGAGAGGTGAGAGAGGTGAGAGAGTGGAGACAGGAGGTGGGGCAGAGAGGTGGGGAGTGAGAGGCGGAGTGTGTGAGTGAAGGGGATAGGGTGTTGAAAGGAGAGAGCAGATGCGAAAAAGAAAAGAAAAAAAAGAGAAAAAGAAAAAGAGAGACTAAAAGGGAGAAAATGACTTACAGGATCGAATTTACTTCCACAGAACAAAAATACCTTATGAAGCTGGTGCTGCTAGTGGAGAGCTGCTAGTGATGCTTATTGTATAGATATTATCATTATATACAGTGTACGTATATCATAAATACGCCTTGTTAATGAACGTTTTATTCGTAAGCCCAAAGCATCCTTCTTTAATTTTATAGTCACGGTCCCTCGGACATTCCAAGCAGGCACCATCCCCCTCAGCCAATCAGAGAGCGAGAAAGCCGAGTCCGAGGAGACTGCAGGTTGCTTTTGTTTTTGTTTTGTATTCGCACCTGCTCGTTTGCACCTTAGACGCGTGTGGTAACTAGCTTCAATAAAGCTCACTTGCAACTTTGAGTTTTAAAGAACGTACAGACGAAAGAACACAGAAGACTTA